TGGCACCCATCGGCTCAGCAGCCATCGGCTCGGCGTTTGGCGGCAGAGGTGGCAGGTCACCTTGAGGATGCTGCTGTGGATCACAGGAGGGGTGTGAAAGGGTTAAAAGTACCGACGAGGTAAATCTGGGAATGGCTTTGTTACAGGGGTCTCCACTGCCCCGAGGCTGAACATCCTTCTTCCCTTGTGACCCTGTTTCCTTCTTTTATTTTGGATTCCCATCCCTGCACAGCACTAACGCTCAGCGCTGCCTTTCTGTGGTGGGAAACCTGCTGAGGGCACAGATGGGGCTGGTGGTTTCAGGCCCTCGGGATAACCTGGGTCTAAGAACTAGTGCTTCTGTACTGGTTTTGCTGGATTTTATACACCCCCTCAAGTATGAGAGTATTTTTTTTTTAAATCTGCAGTTTCTGGAACATTTTTCAAGAGCAGCTGTGGCAAACAGGAAAACTAGGCAGAGTGGATGTGCAGTGGCAAAGGTGTGGGTTGTTCATCCCGTGCTGGCAGCTCTGTGGCTCTGCAGCCCCCTGCAAGGGGGCATTTTCTCATGAAACTGTGTGTACGGGCACTTGCACGTGACCCTACTGTGCAGAAGCAAGCTGGCAATGCACGATGCCCTGTACCACATAAATACACACGTGGTTTTACTCCCAGCAAGATAAATTATCCGGATGTTTTTGAAAACATCTGTTCCTTGAGTGTTTGTGATCCTCCAGCAGCAGCAGCAGGAGCTCAGCATCCCCGCTGTGACAGAGGGCTTTGCACAACCCGAGCCGAGGCCCCAATTTCTCTAGAAGGTTGACTCCCATCCTCAGGGATACTGGTGTCCTGGGAGCGTCCCTGGCATCTGTGCCACTGCCCTCTGTGCGGGAGAGCTTTGTAAAGCTGCCTTTGAGTACGTTTTGTTTCCAACAGGTTTGTACCTGCAGTAGCTGGCCCCAGCAAAGGGAGCCTCTAGGTACTGCCTGGTTTCTGTCTGTCTGGGGAACAACACCTGACAAGAGAAGAAAAAAAATCTTGCAGTGCAAGAACGACATTTAAATATCATTTAACCTTGAAAAGAATGTGACGGAATGGGGTGTAAAATGTAGCAACTGGCATCAGAAAAAGCCTTGTAGTGGTGACCTGCTAAAAGGCTTTTTAGGAACCGATCGGATAAATTGTAAGTAAGCACAAACAGTTTCAGGATCTCTAAACTACTTGTTGTAACACGCCTTGGCTCCTGAGGAATATTCCTGATGCTGAGAGGAATATGGAGTATGATTAGGTCTGCAGAAAGATGTTTACATGGTGAAGGGGTTTTGTGCAAAGGCAGTGTCAGTAAAATACGTGCTAATGGTTTCTGAGATTGTTGTGGGAGTGCTGTCTTCTTGGATACCATTGACTGTTGTCAGTGTCCAGGGGATGAGGCACTCATTTAAGGAATTGCCCTTAGTGCTGCCCGTTTCATCATGCATTTATACTTATTCACAACTTCCCGTGGAGACCGCTGCGATGGCTGGATTTTCAGAGACTTCTTCTCCCCAACTACAAAAAGTATTTTCCCTATGTGACTAAGAAAAATTATGTGCATATGGTTCAGATTATGAAATCTTATTAAAAAAAAAAAATTGCTCCCAGATTCTGTCTGGGTTTTTTTAAGAAAAAGAAAAAAAAGTGATTGGGCTCTCGGAGGGCTCCCGTAGGGAAGGTGCCCTTCCTGGGAGGGCACCTCTGAGGTGGCAGCTAAATCAAGGAGCTTTTTCTGCTCCTTGCCCACACAACAGCCTGCCTGAAATTGCTCCTGCTTTCCACTGTCCCCCCGGAAGGGCTGGCACCTGTCTCCCTCCCATGGGGCCACAGCTGCAGGAGCCTCAGTGGGGCTCTGTGTCTGCTCCTGTCTCTGTCCCTGCCGGCCCCTCTGCTGCTTCCCTTTCGATGAGGCTGAGATTTGGTTTCTGATCGGCTTTTATTGCAGGCGGAGCAGGGAGTTATTAAATCTCCATCCCATAATCCAGCCTCCAGCTCCCTCCCGAGTTATATATGGTTATTTGCTGAGGGTTTTTCCCTTGCTGCCAGTGCAGGAGAGTAGCACTTTTTCCCTTGTAGCTGCATCGCCAGAATGACTAAACCTTTTCCGGCCTGGGGAAAAAACTCTGCTTTTTTTTTCCCCCTGGTTTTGGAAATTGTAATGTAGAGGAGTGGTTTTGTTTCAAACTGAGGTTTAGTCCCCATCTCCCCCTCCTCTGCCCTGAGAATCTCAGCGGTGAAGATGGCCTCGATGCAATGCAGCGTGATGCAACGCGAGGTGATGCTCCCTGCGTGCAGGAGGGTCCAGCCCAATTATGTAAAGGGTGCTGATGGTGCTCATTGGTTTTTCATAGGAGGAAAAAGAGCCCTCCCTCCCATTTTCCCTCACTGCTGAGAGCAGCACAGGGGCAGAGGTGGGGAAAACGGGCTTGTCCAGTCCTGACTGTGCAAATGCCAAAACCTGTGTTCACAACAGGGCTTTTGGTGGTGGTGGGAAATCCTTCAGCCCTGTTTTTGGGAGCAGGATGCAGCAGTGGGGCTTTGTAGAGGGGTATTTTAATTGCACAATGAAGCCTGACAGTGTGAGTGGTGTGTTAGTGTAGCTTTCACTGGGAGATTTGGGGAATTGAGCTTCTGAGCGGCAGCATGGGCTGCTGAAAGCTCAGCCTTAATAAGAGGGTTTCCCCCTCCTTCAAAAGGGAATAACCTCATGCTCTGACATCATGGCTTGATATTCTCTGCTCAGAAAATGGAGGAGTTTGCTGCGAAGGAGAGACCTTCCTGCTCAGCCCAACACCAGCCTCTGCATCCACCCCCACAGCGTTTGGGGCTGCAGGGAGGGTGCATCGTGTCCAGGTTTTTGTTCTTGGAGTGAAATGACACCAGTGGCTGGCTGCAGCTGTCGCTGTGAGGGGCTGTCAGCCCATCAGGGTGGCACAGGACGCAGCCGGGGTGTGGGGATGCTGCCCTGGGGTCTTGCGTTTGGCCTCTGTTGCAGAGAACCTGGGCTCTGTTCTTCTGCCATTTAGCTATACACCTGCACTGTCACTTCACTGGTTTGTGGACAAAATGCGTGGCATCGTGTCGTATGGTTGCACTGAAACTTCCACTTAGCGTCTGTTTGGTGACTGTTTTGCTCTTCCTCTGCAAGCAACGGTACTGAACACTTCAGAGTTGTGCAGCGTCTGGCTGTGGCCCCCGTGCTTCAGGCTTGCCTGTCCCCAGCCCTGTGGTTCAGGATCAGGCCGGGTAGCTGTGCCCTGCAGCATCGTCCGTGCCTTCCTCCCTTGTCCGCACAAATGCGTGGTCACGGTGGGAGGGCGTCTGGCTTGGGGAGATACGCTGTCTTTGGTGCAAACCTTGACTACATGTGGCAGAAGTACTTTCTGCAGGATCAACTAAATTGGTACTGATTTTATGGTCAGTTTTGGGTTTAATTACATTTTGATTGTCTGCATTTCCTTTGCGAACGGAGTTATTCATCGCTTCCTGTCTCAAAGTCCCCTGTACGTGGAGTGCTCGCATAGATACATTTCACATGAGGTGTTTTATTGTGGCATTGGTCCTGTAAGGCGTAATGCCAGTTGAGAGATGAGATGAGTTGCTCTCGAGGCTTCCAGAGCAGTGAAGGAGACACAGACATCTTTGGCACAGAGATGGCCTGGGGTTTAAAGTGAGGTGTCTTTTCCAGTTTTGCCAAGGACAGAAAACATGGGCAGGGTTTTGTTTTCTTGGTCCTGCCAAGCTGCAAGGAAAAGTGATCCTAAAGGTGTGGCTTTGGTCTGAGCTGTTTGCGGAACCAAATTTCCAAGGCAGATAATGAAGCAAGGCAAGAATGGACTGGCAGCTGAGGTAAAAGGGGTGGGACACGTGCGTTTAGCAAGAACCCCCCAAGGCCAAGTTGTATTTTTGAGGCATCAAAGCATCTCTCACTCTTCCTGATGCTGAAGGTGGGTGTAATATTATGGAAAGCAATATTACTGCAAAACTGGAACCGCCTCCTTTTTCCAGGGAGGTGAAGAAAGTTCCTGTCTTGGGAAGCCACAAGGGAGAAGTCAACAACTTTTAATTTGATGTTTTATCTTGAGGAGGAAGATGCTACCTGCCCACAGCCAAGTTCTGTTTCTCCTGACCCTCTGGCTGTGACAGCTTTGGAGTGGGATAGGGACAATGGCCCACTACATGGAAATCATTTCTTAGCCTGGGATGTAGCCCCAAAGCTGCCGCTGTGGCAAGTCCTTTGCAATGAAAGACTTTAAATACAAGGCACCTCTGTGGACTGCAGCAACCCACAACATGCCAGCTGGGACAAGGTGCCCAAAGAGGAATTTTTAGCTTCAGCTGTTCAGCTCACGGACAGTCAGGAGAGCTGAGAAGCGGAGTGAGGGCTGGAGATGGTGGTGCCAGGCTGTGGGTGAACTGTTTTTTGTGGAAAAGAGGAGGCAGAGTGATGTGGGACTGGGTCTTTCCTTGGGAAGGCAGTAGGATGGGGTGGGCCGCAGCTCACGTAGGTCCTCACACTTGCACATTTTCTTTGATTTTGAGTTAAAAGACAAGGCATGAAGCATGTGGCTGTGTTGTCAGCTTGGCCAGAGCCCTGGGGCCAAGCCCAGGGCTAAACACTATTCTTGCAACCAAAGAGAGGTATAGCCCCACTCAGGCACCTCAGGGCAGTCTTTACCTCTGTGGTGATGTTTGTCTTTTTCCCCAGATTGACAAATACCTTTATGCCATGCGGCTCTCGGACGAAACGCTGATAGACATTATGGCTCGCTTCAGGAGAGAGATGAAGAATGGCCTCTCCAGAGATTTTAACCCAACGGCTACGGTGAAGATGCTTCCTACATTTGTGAGGTCCATTCCTGATGGTTCAGGTAAGGAGCTGAGTGTTTGCTTTCTGTAGTAAACATGGTGTGCTTCGTGGGAAGCTTGTTAGAAATACACCAATGCGCTACCAAGAACAAGAGCAGTTTGCCTTCTGGCAAGGCCAGAAAACATTTTGAAGACAGCCTCCCCTCTTTGTGCAGGTCTTTTCCCACAGATGCTGGAGGATTTTGCGATTCCTGTGTCAAACCCGCTTTGATGCCAATGGAAGAGCCCTTCCTAGCAATCAGTGCGTTAACAGGCAATACATTAGGCTGAGATTTGTCTGCCAACAATCAATACGTCATGTAGGAATATTTTTGATATGTGCAATTCACACTCATGTGATCTAGAGTCTTAACAAATACAGCGGCTTTTAGTCATTTGCTGTTTGACTCAATGTCTCCTCTCTATTTTTTCCCCAGTGGAAGTGTGAACCCTTATATGCTGAATTTGAGTTTCCTAGCGTTCGTCTGGCTTTTCGTAGTGACCTCTTGCAGAGTGTCTCAGGGCAAATTCACAGAACTGAAGGAGGATGCAGTGTTTAGCTTGACAGCTGCTGCTTTGGTGTACTGAGCTTTTTCCACCCAGATGTAGGACTTGTTTTTTCTGTGCTCACTGTACCTCATAAAAGTGGCATAAAGAGCTATCAGAAACCAAAAAGATGTTGTGTTTCTATTTGAGACCAAGATTGTCCCTGTTACTTATTTTAGTGTTTATAAAAAAACCCCTCACCTATATATGGAGTATATAAATGTATTTATAAACAGTGTATAATAGTGTTTCTTATTTAGTGATAACACTAGATTTCCTTCTCATGTAGCATGAGTTGGTTAACTGTAGTTTGATGCCTACCACAAATTATGTCCCTGTGTGCAGAAATTGCACGGTTGCAAGAACTACATTGCACAGTTACCTGTTTTGAGGCTTTGTTTGAGGTAAAATCAAGAATTTATTGGGTGAAAGAACATGAAGCCTGGTGCTTTGTGTTACTTGGTGCTGTCTGGCAGGTGGAAATCTTTGATAGTTCTGCTTTACTGCTGCATTCTGCTACCTTAAGCTTTTTAATTGAAACATGATTCTCTGTCTAAAAAAACTCAGAGGAAGAATGAGTTTGAATCCTGTGTTTCCCTTCATTTAGCACTGCAGGCTGTTATGTTGAAATGTTGTGTTGAAATGTGCAGCCTCTTGAGAAAGCCAGAAGCTGCCACACACAGCTGGGTCACGGGCAGGGGTTGCTCCAAGGGGTTGCAGACGAGGTGACTTGAGGGCTTTTGCGTGGAATCCTAGCATTTGTACTGACTCTGAAATCCCTGGTTTTTCCTTCCTGCGTGTTTGAGTTCACTTGAGTACAGATGTGTCCCCAGTACCCTGCTTTGTTAGGCACTGCAGGTTAGCAAATCTGAGCTGCTTACAGTGAGTCAAATAATTTTGCAAATTGTTCCATGGCACAAACTGGGGAGACTGAGATGCAGTATGGCACGGGGAAAAGGGGATCTGCACCTGGCCAGGAGAGGTGGGAGAGATTGCTGAATGCTGCTGGGACCAAGCATTCAGCTTGAAGCAGAGCAGTGGGTAGCCCTGGTCCGAGCATGTGCATGTCCATACATCAAGGCATTAATTTCAGATCACATATCACACACCTACTTAACAAAGCAACCTTGTGTGTTGTGCACGGGGTGCTCAGTTCTTGATCCTCTGCCTATTTGGCTCCTGATGGCCTCTCCAGGACAGGCTCGCTGTGGGCAGCGAATTTGCAGCTTGGATTAGAGCAAGGCAGTTCTTTGCCCCAGACAATTTCTGTATAACATGGTGATAATAATCTGTATATGTGTGTTGCGAGTGTCTCTGTGGAGAGCTGTTAGAAATGCAGGCAAAACCATTCCATTACTTGCCTAGAAAAGGCATGTTCTGGCCCCAGGTATGAGCAATATTTGCTGTTGGTGAGTGTCATGGTATTTCTTTCCCTGACTCGCCTGCCTGTGCCTGCCATGTCTGGCTTAGCCGCCATGCAGATGCAGCCAGGGCAGACACAGAGCCCCCTTCCCTCCTCCTCCAAAAGAAAAGGCTCTGGGGGGCCCTCGCGGCTCTGTCCGTGTTGCTGCGCCCAGAGTTGTGTGGGTTCCGCTCCCGGCCAACGGCAATTTCTGCCTTCAGCTGTCCCTCTGTAAAAGCTAGAGGCTGAAAGCTTGCCCTTTTCTCTGGCCCATCTCTAATTACTGCCTGGTAAGCTCTTTGAGTCTGATTATTATTATGACAGCTGACTACTCAGAAAAATACTGTTGTTTAGTTTCAGATCTGTGCTTGTGTACTCTATTAACAAGGAGCTTTGGAGTAATAATTTTGGAGACTCCAGAGGCGTTGGTATTACCAAGGTTTTTTGCTTCATTCAGAGTTGCTTAATTTACAAAAGCCACAAGCTTTTTTGTCCAGAGTGCCCAGAACATTATTTCAAGCCAATTCATAATGCTTTCAAAGGATCTTCCTAAATTAATTTACAGCAGGTTTGATTGCACCTTGGTGTTAGAAAGTGTAGATTAAATGCTGCTTCTTGGGTTTAATTCCTGAAGTACACTGAAAGGAAACTGCTACTTTGCATACAGAAAGCTTGACGCTCTAGTTCAGAGTTCTTTTTCCTTTTAACTGAAAAGGATAAATCTTAATAAATTTTAAGTTGCAATGAGCTTGATAGTGCTGGAAGTCGAACATGCTAATTTGTTACTTTACTGCCAGGGAAGATACTTCTGAAGTGCAGTATTTGTTTGAAGTAAGTACTACGGTGCATTTAGGCTTGAAAAACGGCCATCTGGTCCAGTGTTGATTTTTCCATTATTTATTGGAGGTAATGGCTTGCATTCAGCAAATGATACTCATATGATAATGCTTATTTGGGTATTTGGCTTAATGAGGCACTTGTGGGAAATGTTTGACTTCCAGTCTTGTTGCGGTGAAGGGGGTTATGAGTTACTGAATTTGTTTTGCTGAACCCAGTAAAGGGAACTGCATCTGCAGTTTGGATATGTTCACATTTAAAATGACATTTGTACTGGAGCAAAGCAATGTTTAAAGCCATGCTGTTCGGAAACCGGTAGGGAAGCACTGCAAGATCTGCATTTTGAAGCAGCAAGAGGAAAAATTGCATTGCAATGCAGTAAAATGAGGAACATTTTTAGGAGCTGTGGGTTCCCACTGTCATTTTGCTGTGTTTTTCTGTACAGAGCTTGTTGTTCTTTGGGGTTTCTCACATGACAGTGTTTTGTTTGCTGTATTACACTGCAACCTTGGAAAACTGTAAGGGCTTTTGCAGTGACTTTGCCTCTCTAAGGCTGTTCCTGCTAAACGTCCCACCCCAAGGGATGCCCCATCCAGCTCATCAGCTTTGCTGAGCGGGAGGGGGCTCCTGGAGGTGCATGGGGCGATGAGGAGGAGCAGCTCACCAAGCCAGACTTTAGGAATTTTGGTCTGAGATTGGGCAAGGTAATCCGAGGCAAGTCTGGGTCTGGAAATCCTGGTGGATAAATTGCTTACGTGATATTTTGGTGACTGTGGGGTCAGAAGGCTCTGAGAGCTGAGTCGAAGTTTGAGGTGACATGTCAAAAGGTACCAGTCTTCCTAACTGCTAGAGGTCTTTCCACATTTAGTTTAGGTAGAAATGGAAAAAAGGTGTTGTTGGGAATGGCCTCCCCAAAGTCGTAGTTTAAAGTTGGAAGGAAGAATGAAAAGAGGCCGAAGAGCGCTGCTGGGTGGGGCTGGCAACAGGCGTCAGTGGTGCAGGATGCGAGGGAGGCAGCTGAGCCCGCCATGGCGTGGGGCACTTCTGGCACCGCAGAGAGGTACAAATCGATGAGGAAACCGGGACGAGAGAGCGACGTGCGCCTCTGCTTCACCACCCTCCGAGCAGCCTCGATGCGCCCGGGGATGCCGTGCACAGATGCAAATGCTTGTGAAGAGCCTCGGTGATTAACTGCAGCCTGGACACGCACTCCTGTGTGATAAGTAGTGTGCACTGCTTCCCTAAATATTGTCTTTTTTGCAGACTTTAACGATCGCTGCCTTTGTTTGCTCCCTCTTTGATAAGGTGAGATAGCACAAGTGGTTCAGTCAAACATATTTGCCTTGCTCTCCAGGGGGTGCTGAAAGTGTGGTTCCTCAGATAGCCAGACCATGCGCCTCTGTTGCCTGAATTACACCCTGAAGTCTGTGGAGGCGGGCGGGCAGTGGGTTTGGCTTCAGATCTTTGAAATCCAAATCCGTCTCCACCACAGAGGGAAATGAAGGTATTCTAACTCTTCCCCTGGCTCCTGGGGAGATATTTAGGAGCTCTGTGCAAGGGATCACAACTTCTGAGTAACTCCTGGGGCAGTGTAGGGCTGCCCTGCGATTTTTCAGACTGTCACTTCTCTGACTTGTGTTATCTGTATGCAGTTTGCAGTGAATCTCAGCTTCCAAGTGTGAAACAAGTGGTCCTACTTTAAGTACATCTGTGTGTAGTTTGTTGATTTTGGAGTAGTGCATAATCTATTCACTGTTATTTGCCAAAATGACAGAGGTTCATTTACAGCAAAAGACTGCTCATCAGTGGTCTGGCATCTCTTCATTTTACTGTCTCTGTTTTCAACATCTTTTTGGCTTTCTTCTGAGATCTTTGCTTTGCCAGCTTCAGCACGAGATCTAGGTACAGACTGTCCACTGTTTGTCCATTCTTGTTGGATAAACCCTCATTGCAGTTGCCTATGTATCTGTGGTGGTTGGCGTTGCCAGGGAATCAGATTGATGCTTCACGTGGACGCCCTTCCTTGCCATAGGCACTGGACATTTGCCAATGTGCTATACTTTGTACACCTTGATGTTTCCCAGATTTGTGCTGCATACAATTTTTAATCACTTGTGTCTTGTTTTCCACATAGAGAAAGGAGATTTCATTGCACTGGATCTTGGTGGTTCTTATTTCCGAATTCTGCGGGTGAAGGTATCGCATGAAAAAAAGCAGACAGTACAAATGGAAAGTGAAATTTATAATACGCCTGAAGATATCATGCATGGCAGTGGAACACGGGTAAGCACCTCTTCCTTAGGACGTCTCTCTAAAGATTAGCTGCTTTCATGCTGCCATTTTAGAAAAACGCAGGAATGACATGAACACCTTAGCAGTTGCACCTGCAGTGTGCATGGGCTCGACACTCAGCTCTTTGTCTGAAAATCAATAAGCAGTTGTTAGTGTAATAGAGCATGCATGGGTGCTGAAAATCCGCTGTCATTTTGTGTGAGACTTTTTGGCTGAGTTAGCAAAAAAATGGCCTAGAAGTAAAAATTCTGACTTTTATTCCACAGGTAGGAATGGAGAGCAGGAAAACAACTTAGTCTTTGTAAGCAGTGAGCAGGACCAGCCCTGCAATTGTAATGTTAAGTGAGGGATAGAAATACCCATGACAGCCACATATCTGTCCTGGTGGTCTGAGCAACACAGCATTTGTGAAAAGTACGTTAGAAAAATTACAGGAAGCTGATAGAATGTTTTGGCACAACTTCAACTTAATTTTTGCTGAATAAATGATAGGGATTTTTTTAATCTCCCATGTTCCAAGAGTGGAAGTTGTTTAAATCCATTTACTTGGATTTCAAATTGGGTTCTTTGGAAGAATTTTTTTTCTTTTTATGACCAGGAAGTGGATTACAATTAATATTTTACTGACAGATTTGTCTCCGTGTCAGTGTAAGACGAAACAGGTAATTTTAGTTGTTGGAAACAGCAAGGTTTTTTACACTTTTTACTAGAGTGAGGTACTCTTTTGGAGTATGAGACCTGCAGGAAACTTACAGCTTGTTTCAGAAGAATAAACAAAAGAGCAAAAAAGAAAAATTAGGCAAACAGCTTTTCTACCCTTAATGTATTTTCTGTAGTTACCTTAATCCCCTTGATATATGTGTCTGATAACTGCTGCCTCATTCTTATGCGCTAGCGAGTGTAAGATGGCAATTGTAGCTTGTAAGTAGCACTGATATAAGCATTGCTGTGATATCTGAATCACAGCAATAAAATACCTTTGTTGTTAAGACTTTTCCTAACATTATTAATTTATCTGGCCTGGCCATGCAGTGGCTTTCGCACAGGATGGTTTTGGAGGGGAGCTGAGCGGACCTGCCTGTTGTGGAAGAGGCAGGAAAGTTGGGTGGGCTGCCTGGAGACGGGTTTGGAGCGCAGGGTCACTTGTCCATGGAGGGGTGTCGGGAGCTGGAGACCAAGGAGCAGCAAGGCTGCCTGCACACCCAGGGGGCAAGTGTCTGTCTTAAGGCAAGCTGACTTAAGGTGAGACTTGATGGAGACATGATAAGGGTAGTGAGGAGAAGGCAGAAAAGGAGGTCTGTTCTTGCCAGGGCTTTGTCATGTTTACTTTTTAATTTTTAAATAGCCAAAGGCCATTTGGCTGTCGGTGAACCAGCAGCGTGGAGCTCAGGCTTAGGCTTTGTCATGGCTTTTAAACTGATAAGAGATGAACAAGGCTTCCACTGACCCTGGGGGGACAGTCGCTCCCAGTATTTAATGATAAAAAGAGAACTGGAAGCATTATCAGAATTGCATCTGGGTTCGATGTTGTCCCATGACAATATTGAACCATGACTAAGATGCTTGCTGTGAGACTTCACAGGGAAGGCATGATGGGTGCCCAGGAGGCGTACAGGTGCATGATGATTTGGTGCTTATGACTGATGCGTATGGTTGAGGTTCTCTGAGCCAGATTAGTGGAATGCCTGCACGGAACTGCCCATGTGGGGTAGGCTACTAGTATGTTTTTCAGCAAGCTGTGTCATTAACTTCAGTGAGTTATACTCTTAAAGCGTAATACATAATCAGCTTACTGAAGGGGTTGTGATTTATACCTTCATGCCTCACTAGCATGGTTTGTTTTGATATTATCTACTTCATTGTTTTCAAACTTCTATTTTTGCCCATCTGTCAGGCACGGGCTGACAGCTTTGCCAGTCGGAGACAGTTCCCTGTCAAAGCCAAGGGCAAAACTCTCACTGGCTTCAGCAGTGTAATAGCAGGTTTAAAATTTGTAAGAAGCCTGTCTTCTGTGTCAACTCAGCTAATGGGAGCGTGCCTGGGGCTTGATTTTGGTGTTGCTTTTTGTGTTCTGCTGCTGCTGGAGGTAGGTTATGGATTTGTGGCTGTTCTCCTGATCTGAAGCTGTAGTTTCCTTGCTCCTTAAATCTTCCTCATTCAGAAGCTTGAGCTTGAGCTCAGGTCTTCAGCTGCTTTCCAAAGCCTGCTGGCTGCTAGCCACGTGCATCCTTGTGGAGACTTCCTGGAGCCCAACCTGAGCAGGCAAGTTTATGGCCAGAGGAAGTAATGAAGCCTGATGTCATATTGCTCAGAGTCTCGTGATTGTATCACTTCAGGTCTATAAAGGTGTAAAATCTGACTGGTCCTTTCCTCTTGGCTGCAGCGTTCGCTCTGTCTGTCTCTTTGGTGTTTGATAAAATATTGTGCTCACACTGTTCCCTGCTGCACACCTGTGGGTGGGTGGGAGTTTGGATTCTTCCTCAGTCTGCCTGCCCTACTTTAATGAAATCCACAGGAACTATGTAATGTTGCCTTTACTGTCCTGTCAAAGTTATTTGGCATTTGTAATATTTGGATGTTAATATAGGTACGGGCACATACAGATGCTTCCTTGAGTCTCATTAAGAGAAAATCTTATGACTGTCAGTGGTAGGAAAATTAATAAATGCCTCTCTCTTTCTTTTCTCCTTTTTAGCAGCGCCTTTCCTCTGTGCTTTATCAAAACCAGTAGCACAGCCAGACCGTGCATTAGTGACTAGACACTGCTACTGTAGTGTCAAGAATGTGGCTAATAGTTAACTGCATTTGCCTGTGCAGGCTGCGGCATGGGTTGTGCTCGCGTGCCTTGCTGCCAGCCCAGAGCCCTAATGACTCCCAGTGCATTGCTTGCAGCAAGCGTGCACGCTAAGTCACGGAGGCGAGCTTCGGCAGGTCATACCGGGGCTGCAGGCGATAACTGGAAGGTGCACGGACTTTCTGGAGTGCATTGGGAATGCCCAGGGATGTTTTGCAGTTGGACTGGAAAGCAGGTCCCGTCTCTTCTCTACGCAGTCGTGGTTCATTGCGTGAAGGGCATTTTTGTAGCAACATCTACAGTCAGTATTTCTGCTTCCTGCCGTCTGAATTCCTGAGGGGTTGGAGGTTGGCCTCTGGCTATCGTTTGTAATCCTGGGAGCAGCTGAAAAGTTGAATAGGATTGAGTATTTAGCAAGATACTTTCAGATGGAAAGCGTAATAAAAATGTACGCTCCTGTTATTTCTGTGTTCCACCTGGAGAATTTGTCATATTTTATTACTTAATTATAGTTCTTTTCATAACTCGTTTTCCTCTGTCCTTCGTCTGGACAGCTGAAAATAGTGTTACGGAAGCGCAGCGGTGTAGGTTGCTTTGCCATGCTGTTTCACTGCGTGCGCACAGTGGAATGTCCTTGATTTGCTCAGGACAATCAATGGCAGCATTTTCCCTGGGAAACTACTGTACTTCTGTTTAATGAAACCTGACCTCTTTTTAGGAATGAGTTTAAGGTGTTCTGTTAAACTGTAACATTACAGACACCGCTTCTTGATCTGCTTCAGATGGCAAAATATTCCTCTTCATTTTTTGCAATTGCTGCAGCCTGTTTGTAGTGCTTTCCTGTCTCTCTGAGACTCTGTAAACTGTTCTTAATAAAGCTGTGCAGGCTAACCAACAGATATCGTTTTGTACTCCCTCTCAATTATTCCCAATCTTCTGGGCAGTTTTCCTGGCCTCATCCCACCCATGCTGTAGATAGGGTTGGTTGGTTGTGGTTTTCTGCTTTTTTTCTCTTTTTTAGGGACTTAAAATGTGAAGCAGTTATTTTCTGGGGCAGGCGGTGACTTGTTAATAGTTTGACATCCTTTTGTGGTATTGGTCAGTTCAAGGCATGCCTGGCTTTTTGGTACTGGTAGCTACAAGTATGTATTTCTGGTGCTTTGATTGCTAGGACTTCAGCTTTGAGTGCTGTGACCTACCTAAGGGGCTTTCCAAATACCTCTGTGTACGAGACATCCCTCGCCTTCATGCCCACACGCTCCCTGACATGCCTGGCTCCTGGCCTGGCTGCCGGGGACACATAGTGCTATTGTCACAGGGGGCCATTGAGGGGCCATCGAGGTCTGGGTGGGAGTCAGTACCCGTGAGGCCGGTGCAGGCTGTCTGCATAGTTCAGCGTTTAAAAAAAATGTGGAAAATGTTCCCATTTTGGGTTGTTTCTCAGACCAAGTAAAATATTTAGATGAATTCCCTGAGTTTCCTTTTTGTTTGTTTGTTGTGAGCTTTAGGAATGGATGTGAGAGATTATGTCCTTTTGGGTGGCTCCTGCAAAGCGCTGGGTTCCGTAGTCTCAGCTGTGCTTGAGTGAAGCAGATGTTATCTTCTCTGCATCACTGTAAAAGTGCTCAACCTTCCGTGGGACTGGATCCCAAATGTTCTTTTGAGATGCTCCTGCCTGTTATTGAAAGGTTAAAAGCACTTTTTTGTTCTCATCAAATGTTAAGCGGAAGGGTTGCGGCAGGCTCGAGAGTCATGTGCCCCTTGTTTCAAGAAAAGAGTTTTTATATGGATGTACAAGACGCCATGCAGAATTAGGTGTGTAAAAGCACGATGTACTTCTTAATTAATTAATTATTAAGGTTTTCATGTACTCTGCCTGAGACTATTTTCATAACTATGTCATTTATATATCTTTAAAAATTTGGAGCACATATTTTCCCCTTTCCCCTCACCCAGTACAGTCTTCATGTGCAGTTTGAAATATTTTCTCCCTGAAACTGTATCTCTAATCGTGGTGGTTTTATACTTTTCATTTTCTCGTAGCTTTTTGATCATGTTGCTGAGTGCCTGGGAGACTTTATGGAGAAACAACAAATCAAAGACAAGAAATTACCGGTCGGGTTTACGTTTTCTTTCCCGTGTCGACAATCTAAGCTAGATGAGGTAAGATTTCACTATTTTCTTAATACGCAGAAGAGCTACCACGTTATTAAAGCACTGCTATGAAACCAGTATCCCAGACAGGTCTCATTTTCGGGATAAAGGAGTGTTGTATTTCGCTGTCAGACTTCATGTTTGTGTTTATGTTTCTCTCTGAAAGAGCTGGTTAACAGATAACAAAGAGGCATCTGATGTTTTGTACTGCCTCTGCCTGAGCTCCTCAGTGTTATGTTTTACTGTGTAAATGTGGCAGCAGTTTTCCTGCCTCCTGTGCAGCCTTTTTCACCTCTCCATGGGCTGTAACTGGGAAGGACCCAGCCCAGCAGCACTGGCTCAGATTTTGCTGAACTTCACAAGTGCATACACTGGTCTGGATCAAGGTCTCCCTCCTGCGCAGCAGTGCTGAGCCGTGCCACCGGCTGGGTGCTCAGCACTGAGGGCAATCGGGCAGGCCACATGGAAGCAACGTGCTTTGAAAAGGGATGGAAATAACCAGCGTTGTATGAAGTGAGCAATGAAGTTCCCATGACAAGGATGCTACGGTATTTTCCTTCTTTTTCTCATTATATCACAGATGACTCAGCAGCCTCCCGGTACAGCATTGCTGTGGCAACGGTGTAGCAAATTAATGCAGGAAAGTTAAATCCGCACAAAGCGCTACGAGGTTGCGCTGTTAAAGCATGACTTACTTCTCTAGCTCGCAAGTCTCTAGGTTAGCCTGGTGCAGCAGCTCCCCAGGTGTTGGTGCTGAGGAGGGCCGGGTGAGGCATGGTTTTTATTGTGTTTCATACTTCTTGAGTGCTGCTGAGAGGTGACACCAGGGGTGTTTACTAACTCAGGGTCTGAGTGTAGCTAAGAGCAGAGAGCTGCCTTGTCCTGCATCAGCTGAGAAGAGGTAGATTTTGGTGCAACTCTGTGATCTGGCCTTGGTGGATGGTAAGGCTCAGGCTATTGACCACAGCAGAGTTGTGCAGGGGATGAGAGTGTAAACCTGAGTTTCCCCTGTGAAAATTTGTTTGGCTGCATGGCAGGTGCTTGTTTGCAGGCTGGTTTGCTCAAGCCAGTGGGGGCAAAGTCATGCTTGTGTGGGGCAGGGGCAGGCAGGGAACACATGGGATGGGCTGGGGACACCTGTAGAGACTTGGAGATGAGTGGTGGCAGAGTGGACTTTCTTTCTGAAAGTTTTTGTGATATTTTGCACATTTGCAAAATGTTTTTCTGGATTCTGTGGGCCATATTTGTTCCTGGATTTCTGCTTCTGTGAGGCTGTGCTTGCCTGGGTGCTGGTTTTGCATGCTCCGTGAGCAGAAGTAGGCAGGGTGGACGACCCTGATTTCTCTGACAGTTAACAAGGTGGCATGGCGTGGTTGGGTCCTGCTCAACCCTGCTGCACTCCAAGGACTTCTCCCTGCCGCTGAGGTCTTGCTGGTGAAGCAAAATCTCCTTCCAGCACAGTGGCTGCTCACACTGAGAAGAGCTGTTCTTTGCCAGTGTGGGTTGACCAGTTTCCTGAAAGATGAAAGTTATGTCGACCAAGGGGCCTTTTTGCCCATTAAAGCTGTGCCTGCACAGTGGGCTTTGCCCATGGTTTTCCTGTGCAGCAGCACAAGGCTTTGCTGGGTTTCTAAATGATGCTAACGAGGATAGCACAGTGGCAAAACTTACACAAACTGAGTTTGTGGTTTAGTGGTAGGAATACCTACTGGTCTGGAAAGAGCTGCCCTGACCCCTCTGTCCTCTGTAGCTACCCCTGTTCGGAGGGCGAATGTGCACAAGACACATGGTTGATTTTTAAGGTGAGATATGGGTAATGGCTGCTTGTGCCTATAGGCTTCAGCTTCTCTGTTTTTTAGCTTCTTGGACTCCTGTAATGATGAATATGAATACTATGGTGGGTATGAAAAGCTGAACTGATTTGAGTCATCTTTTCTGTTGACTATTGTCAATCCTCTTTTCTTTATCATTATTTGCTTATATACTGAATGCTCTCATTCAGCTAGGCGTTATCTAAGTAGAACAAAATCAGATGTAGTCATTATCTTGAGGGACTTGCGGGCTCTTTATGACGGTTTGCAGAAAAGGATTTCAATACCAGGATTTCCTTTTTGATCCCTACTGAAAGTTGGGGACATATGTTGCTACATTTCCAGTATTTCCATTTACCTCAACCCGTAAACATGATCCCACAGTGCAACAAGCCCGGACAGGCTGGGACTCCAGGCAGAAAATGTGAAGCAGTCATCACATCCCTTGTCTTTAGTCAGTCCCGCACAGTCAGCTTTTTCCGAAAGCAGTCAATTTCCCTGGCCCAAAAGGATTAAATGGTTTTCCAAGAAAAACTGTCGAGGAGTAACAGAGAGAAGAGTGGGCTGAAGGTATAAAATGCAAGCAAACCATTTTCTAGCAGGGAAGGGGAAAACAATTTCCCATCTTTCAGCTTACTGTAATGAGAATCAAAGACCGCCAATTGTCTCAAGTTGGGTTTTTAGGTTGTATAAGAACAGAGACCTGAAGATGCATTTGAAGTATAAAATCTTGTTCTTAAGGAAAAAAAAAAATCAATTTGTGTCTTATGATGGCATCCTGTTGAATATTGCTCTCTTGTTTTATCAGGGTATTCTGATAACCTGGACAAAGCGCTTCAAAGCAAGCGGAGTGGAGGGAGCAGATGTTGTGAGGCTGCTTAACAAGGCCATCAAGAAACGTGGGGTAAATTGTACTTCATTCTTTTTTTAGCTCTGTATTACAGCAAACTGGCATTTCTTTTATCAGGGACCACACTTCATGTCACTGGCCTGAGCATGTGATCTGAGTGATGATGCAGCTCTGCTTTCTTGTGTGGTTTTACCTTTTGCTGGGAAGATGGAGCAACGTCAGAGCTGATATGTGGAAACTGTGATATTTCCTCCTATCACAAAACTGAGTTACTATGTTGCGGTATGTCACTGGCAACCTGCAGCAATTTTATCACCCTCCAAAAACTGAGGAGAAAGTGATGCATGTCATGGTCTGGGCTCAGCTGAGTTGTGCTGCCTTGCTTGGGAGCAGGAGAGGCGCGGAGCGGAAGAGAAGGGGGAATTCAGGCTTAGTGAGCTGTGTTGCTCCCTGGAGTTTTTCACTGCTGGTTTTATAGAGGGTGAAGGTGACCAGGTTGCTGATTTAAAGAAATAAAAAGCCACTGAGCATGGGATGGAATGAATTTGGGTTTGCGTAATGCTTGCAGCAAGGTGATGTGTGGATTAGTCAGCATACAAATGTATTGGAAAATGTATTTGCTCTGTGTGGGTAGTTGTGGACTCTTAAGCAAACCTGAGTTTTACTGTCACTGAACAACATTACTATAGTCAGTTACTGTCATCAGACTTAGTATCAGGTAGAATAACACACTGAAGAAGCTGGAAAGGAATGAGTGTGTGTCATTTGAATAGCTTATATTTTTGTATTAAAATCTTCACTTGAAATAAAACTCCTAGATGTCTTAAGTGAATTCTATGAGAAATGCGTAACTTGGGAATATTTTCTAGATTGGCACCTCAAGCAACTGTATCAAATTACTCCATGATGTTTAACTGCAGAATTTCTCCCTCCCTTGTGTATAGCCCTTTTCTTTCCTGCTTAAGGGTGCTTATGTGAGAGCAACTCTTTGCTCTCTAGAATTATGCTACTGCTGTTTTATTGTTTGCCTGGTGCATTCGTCTGCTCTCATTGTCCTCTGGGGTACATGGGCTAAGACACTGGTAGACGGAATCTGTGATATTTAAAAAGATGAGCTGTGGTATTGAGACAAAATTTGTCTTCTGTTCCTTGTGAAATTAGTTGATATAAGCGAACCAGTGATAAACACAATGTTTTCCAGAGAAGCCATATGGTCCAAGTAATGTTTTGTTCCTCCATCAGGACTACGATGCAGATATCATGGCTGTTGTGAATGACACCGTCGGGACTATGATGACCTGTGGTTTTGATGACCAGCGTTGCGAAGTTGGCATAATCATTGGTAACGCACATTGCTGCTGCAGCATGCATGTGGCTTTTCTCCCTTTGCCTGGCCTGTTTGGTTAGCACCTTCTGATGTCCTTTCACTAAAGGCACTGGCACCAATGCCTGTTACATGGAGGAGATGCGGCACATTGACCTGGTGGAAGGGGACGAGGGCAGGATGTGCATTAACACGGAGTGGGGGGCCTTTGGAGATGATGGCTCTCTAGAAGACATCAGGACCGAGTTTGATCGAGAGATCGACCGTGGATCCCTTAATCCTGGGAAGCAGCTGTGAGTGAGGCCGTTATTTGTGAGCTTTGCTTCTTTTGTTTTCCACTCCATGCTCCCTTGTCCACTTGTGTTATGAATTCAGCAGTTCAAGAAAGCTCAGCTTTGCCCATGGTGAGGCAAACTGCAGGCTGAGCCGGGCAGTACAGTGGCGCAGCTGGGCTCTGCCTCCCAGTGTTGTCCACGGACCGGTGGGTGACTGCTGCTGTCCTCTTCTGCAGGTTTGAGAAGATGGTCAGCGGGCTGTACATGGGGGAGCTGGTGAGGCTCATCCTAGTGAAAATGGCCAAGGAGGGGCTGCTCTTTGAGGGGAGAATCACCCCTGAGCTTCTCACCAAAGGGAAGTTTGAGACGAAGCACGTTTCTGCCATAGAAAAGTGAGTACCCCCTGGGGATCACAGTGACTCTGAATGTTAATTTTCCAGCATCTCTTTTCGCCTTCTGGGCAGATTTGCTGCATTGGGGGTGGCTGCTGTCCTCCAGTGCAGATGCAGAGCTGTCATGTAGGGACCCCCAGCAGACAGCCTGTGCCCTCCTCGAGATTTCTTCCTTTTTCTGTGTTGGGAGGAACTATGAAAGTCTACCAGTCCGTGCAGCTACAGGGTATGCACTGTGCTACCTCTCGCCCTCCTCGCAAAATCTCTGAAGTTGCTGCTCTGCAGCTAAACATGGCAGTGAATTGGCTTAGTGCCTCCTAGCAAATACTTGGGTTGCTCCTCACTGTATCCACGGAATCACTGAGCAGAAAGAAAACAAGCGTGACAAGGCAGAGCATTCAATCTCATAGGCAGTGCCGGGTGCTACATGGCGACCTCTGAGCTATGCACCAGTTGGTTTCTTACAGTGTCATCACCCCTTTGGTCAGTACTTACTGGCTCTTCCCCCTGCGTTTTTAAAATTCACATCACTAGGATGGTTTGTGCTGTAGTCATTGGTTTGGCTTTTCTTTTCAAAGTGCTGCTGGTTTTGGTGCACGTGTATAGAGGTACCACTGATTGTGAGTGGAACACCAAGGGAATGGCCAGTAACTTCTGCAATGCCTCTTGCCCCCTGCCCTGTTTTACTCCTGGCCCTGCAGAATGTCTTATCTGAACAGCTTTCTATTAAATATGCATGTGTGTTTGTCTTAACTACAGAGTTCCGTGGAACCAGTGTGATGAGAAAAGCGCAGTTATTGAGAAATTCGGTTATTAAGAGCAAAATTTGCCTTGAAATCCCACCTCATTCCCTGAAGAGCACTTTGGTGATAATAGGGGGCACATCCCTGTGCAGCTTCAAATTTCTAGCTGATGCTAGCAAGATGCAAGAGTCCTTAAAAATATGTATGGAGTGCAGTTAGTAATGACAAGATATACTCCTTGTGTTTTTGTCTGGGAAGTGATCGAGCTGGACATGGATAGGTTTTGCCAGAAACTTTGCTCTCAGGCTGGGTGCTAATGTGGGAAAATGCTGTGCAAGGGGCAGAAATTCAGTGAGGCTGTAAAAGTCTGACAAGAGACTCATTAGGATGAAATCACTTAAGCAACCTTCACTCAGGGTTTTGTTTTTCACACTGGGCTTAATTTATTGAGACATGTGAGCAAGTGTGGGATTAGGTGTATGCTCAGGCCTGTGCTGAGTTGTGGGACTGGTGCTTCCTTCTCCAGAGAGGAGAAGCTGTTTGAAGTTTAAAGGATCAGTGTGATGAAGAAATGTTTAATTCCTCCAGGTCAGTAAAAGTGCTTGGAAGCTGCTAACTTTCTTGGGGGTGTGCCATGATGGGCTTGCTGCTCTGCTTCAGGTCCAGCGCTGGTTGGGCCAACTGCAGCCAGAGCTACAGGCTGTGCTCCCAGGGAAAGCCTGGCTCCACAGGATGGGGCTGGTCTTGGTCCCATGCTTTGTGCTTTCGCAGTACAGGGAGCTCGCTTGGTACGAGACCTGGTCTGACCATCTGGCACAATGAAAACGTGGTCTGTGTTGGAGAGATGATTGTTTGGCAGGTTTCCAGTGACATGATGTACCTGTTGCCTTGTGGGAAATGAACTTGAAGCAGGGCAGACCGGTGGGTACCTATGGGAGTAATCCTGCCCGTGGGGTGGCTGCTATAGTACCTGGAATTGCATGGTTTGCAGGTGACAAGTTTGCACCAGGCTTTAATGGAAAGCTGTTTCTATCTGTGGATGAATGCATATTTAGAGCATTTTATTTCAAGCTTCATGGAGCTTCCCAGTCCAGATCCCTATGAAATTTTCCTTCCAACCCCTTTCTCAAACCGCAGGCAGGGACACCCGTGGTTGGATGCGCCTCAGTCCTGGATTTTATAGCTTCCCCACTAAGGAGTACCCTTTACTGCTCTCTCTTTGTAGGAGCAAAGAAGGTTTGAATAAAGCCAAAGAAATTTTAACCCGCCTGGGGGTGGAGCCGTCCCACGAGGACTGCATCGCCGTCCAGCATGTCTGCACCATTGTGTCCTTCCGCTCGGCCAACCTGGTAGCCTCCACACTGGGTGCCATCCTCAACCAGCTGCGGGATAACAAAGGGGTCGGCCGCCTCCGGACCACCGTGGGGGTGGACGGCTCTCTCTACAAGATGCATCCACAGTGAGTCTCTCCGCTCCTGCTGTTAACACTCTTCACCTGTCGTGGCCTCTGGTTTGCAGAGGATTGAGCGTGTAACCCCATGATGTCACCCAGGCATACGGTTTGGGTGTGAGATGAGGCACCCGGCACATGGGTGTGGGGGTTTGAGATGGGGAGCTCAGTGGAAAGGACTTTCTTTAACTGAAGAGGCAGGGTAGGATTTAAAAAAAAACCCAAGAAAACTACAAAGAAAAGAACCAAAAGCTTGAGTAATTGCATACTGCAGTATCAGCGAAAACTATTGTGGTTTGAGTACATACCTTAACGGATCTCAATAGACCTCTTAGAAGGAGAGTTTGTGCGGAAGATTACATTGTGCCCGTGGATGGGGCTTTGAGGAGACCTGCATTAATGCACCTTGATCTCCATTTTCAATTTAAACTCAGTTGTTTTGAAAATGACTGTGCTGAACCCTATTTTTTCCAGTCTTTTCTGAAGATATACTTGAAAACCAGGGGAAAAAATCGGTGCTTACATTTCTGTGGACTTTTAAAAACTGGCTTTTTCTTGTTTTTCCTCGTGTTATAAATTACATTTTTAATCAAACAGCTTTTCAGATTTACGTGGAAATTAGAGAGGAAGTTGAGCTCTTCTGCTGTGAGTGTACCTGGTCCTGGTAGCAGGGTTTGGTGTGAGTCTTAATGTCAAAAATAACGCCAGTGCCCAAGCCCTAATGCTGCGAATGTTTGAGAGTGGCTGCTGGCCTGTGTGCGCTGGAAGAGCAGCACCTGCCTAAGGGTTTCCAAGTTCAGAATAAAGAAATGGAAGAAAAATGCAGGTGTGGTTTATGCACACATGGTAAAAGGCTTTTATTTAGTAAACAATAACTGGTGATAACAAGTCAGTTTCCAGTCTTTGCTGTAGGATTTAGCTGTGGGTACCGAAGGAGAGCAGAAGCACGGCATGCAGGACATACCTTGGCATTGGAGCTGGCTGGGAGGGCTGAGTGTCGTTTACGTGGAAACTTTTGAAAGGAGAAATGTGTTTAATATTTCATTTTCAGTTTCTCATTATTTTGTTGAAAAAAATATTTTCCTTAGTTAAAGAAAAACATAGCATTTTGTAAAAAAAAAAAAAAAATTTCCAGGAATGCAATTTTGATGAGCTTTTCCAGATGGGCAGGTCTAGGGTGTGTTAAGATAACGTGCATGGGCAGTTTTTGTTTCTGAACTGTTTCCCCACACCATCTGAACCAGTGAGTTCAGGACAGCGTGATGACCCCGAGAGAGGAGATCGGAGCAGTGTTGGAGCTGTGGAGCATGGGAGGGTTCCTCCCACCTAGGATCAGGTTCAGGGGATGAGACTCTGATGCTTCCCTCTGCTTTTTGCTGACTTTTCTTAGAAATTCAGGAGGAAAGAGGCCATAGGGAAGAACTGCTCTTCCTGGCATTTATTCTACTTGGGAGGCTGTAGCTAGTCTGGGCATAGGTTTTGGGGGCCATGAGGGAGGCAGTGCAGACGATGGGCTTGCAGCCTGCTCTCCCCGCAGGTACGCCCGACGCTTGCACAAAACCACCCGGCGCTTGGTGCCTGACTCCGAAGTGCGGTTCCTGCTGTCAGAGAGTGGCAGCGGAAAGGGAGCAGCGATGGTGACGGCGGTGGCATACCGGCTGTCGGAACAGCACCGGCTCATCGATGAGACGCTGGCCGAGTTCAAGCTCACCCATGAGCAGCTGCTGCAGGTGAAGAAAAGGATGAGGGCTGAGATGGAAGCGGGGCTGAAGAAGAAGACTCATGAGACTGCCAAAGTGAAAATGCTGCCCACCTTCGTCCGCAGCACACCGGATGGGACAGGTAGAGGCATGCCCTTGCTGGAGTGAGGTCACCGGCTTGGCTGCAGGGTCCCCTCCCCAGAATGGGCTTCCAGTGACAGGGTTTGGGTTTGGTGGAGGGTAAGCAGATCTGGTATAATGAAAGAGGAACCTGAGCTGTTCAAAGCAGGAAATCCCAGCCCCGAGCAGGGCAGCCTGTGCTGCCCTTGTGTCGGTTGCTGGCAGCCCGGCCCCATGTCCTTGCCCCAGAGTGCAAGCAAGCCAGGGCCTGGGAGGGGGAAACTACAGCTGGGCTCATAACCCAAACCCATGCGAACCCTGTCCGCACAGCCTGTGTAGTTCTTTGCATTTCAGGGTGGCTGGCCAAATTTCTGCTTTCTCTCGGGGGACAGTTGTGTGGGTCCTCGTTCCCTTGTTGGTTTAAAAGAAAACAAAACCAAAAACCACACAAAAAAAAAGGACTGGAATAATCAGGGCAGCATCTAAAATCCCCCTCTGATGAAGGTCTTCCCAGCTGAGAGTTTCTAAGAGGTTTTATATCTAGGTGATTTCTGGGGAAAGCACTCTTAAAGATTTTGCTTATGGTTCTTTAAATACACGCACATATTCTTTTACAGAGAATGGAGACTTTCTGGCACTTGACCTTGGAGGGACAAACTTTAGAGTTTTGCTAGTGAAAATCCGCAGCGGTAAAAGGAGAACAGTTGAGATGCACAACAAGATCTATGCCATTCCTATAGAGGTGATGCAGGGAACAGGAGAAGAGGTGAGTGTTTGTGTTTCTCTTTTGCAGCACAGCTACTTTTTAAATACCTTCTTAAGAGTGTGTAACACGTACAACTTCAAATGCATGACTTTTCTCTTTAAAGCTGTTCGATCACATTGTTACCTGCATTTCTGACTTCCTGGATTATATGGGGATAAAAGGTGCACGTCTTCCTCTTGGCTTCACGTTTTCATTCCCTTGCAAGCAGACCAGTCTGGATGCTGTAAGTTCCTTAGTGTCTTTTGAATCTGCTTTTGTGCTTATGCTAGGCCTGATTTCTCTGCCTTTACATCATCTATGTGACACTTATAGGGAGGTTGTACAAGGAGAGGGTTCATGCTCTGACCCTGGCCAGTACAGCTGCTCCTATATATAGTTCCTTCACGGGCAGTAATGCAAATGCTGCTCAGTCCCTGTCTGTGACAGATAAGAGCATTTAAATTTTCTGTGGTGATGATATCCCTTTTTTAAGGTATCATGTTATTTCCAATTGTATAAACCTTCTGGACTGTGATACTTTCTGGGTTTTGCGAGCAGAAGGCAGAAAGCAGAACTGCCGCCAGCTCCTGTTCCCCAGCTGATCTGGTCTCCCCAGACGGAGTGGATGGACTAGGGCCTGCTCGGCTGTGTCACCCTGTGGGCGACTGTGTAGCCTGCAGTGTGTCTCTGTCAAGTGTACCCTTTTTCTCTTTGCTTTCATGTTTAGCTTCCTCACTGCCACATACTTCCACCAACTCCACCTGTGCAACTGTTAATAGTTTCCTGTCTAGTTAGCACTTTTTTGAAGAAAGACATATTTTCTGTCACACTTTTTTTTTTTTTTTTGAGTTTGTTGTTTCTGTCACTTATTCAGGGTTTTTTTGAGTTTGTTGCATTGCTCTGGAAATTTGGAGACCAAGTATGGTTAGTAGTTTTAGATACAGATTCCAGCTACGTAGAGAAATATTCCTTTCCACAGAGACTCTTCTGTATAGTCTCACACTAAAGCATTTGAAATGTCATATATACATTAGTGAAAATAAGATTAATATTCATATATAAGGAAGGAGGAAATAGGCAGTGATGTTAGGAGTCGCATTCAAATTCCAGCTCTAAAATGCTGTCGTCTTGCTTATGATAGGAGGCTTGGTTGAGCCAGGGAGACTTCGGAGTGTGACTGAGACAGTAGACAGGTTGTTCATGTTGGTGAATACTGGAGAACCTCCCCCTTGAGCTGAGGGCTTCTTTAAGTCCATGTAGTGACTGGCCATAGATATTCATGGCCGTTTGTTGGAACCGTGGGGTTGGAGCTGTGGTGTGTGATAGCCTGTGGTCACCTGTGTGAAGCATTGTGATTTTGTGCTTTTACAGGTAGGGGAGGTGTGCAAATGCAAGGCAGTTATCAGATAGAAATGCTCAGTGATCATCCCTTAGAGGATTTTTGGATATTTGAGGCAATCTGTAGCACACCAGGAAACTTGATAACCTATTTTCTTTCTTTTTAGGGTATCCTTCTCAATTGGACAAAAGGCTTCAAAGCTACAGACTGCGAGGGAGAAGATGTGGTATATTTGCTTAGAGAAGGAATTAAAAGAAGAGAGGTGATTTTCTTTGGGTTTCGTTTTCTTTTTCTACTCCTACTTCTCCAGACTTGACAGACCTCGTGGGTCAGGCTGGTTCCCTCTGGCAGGGTGCCTTGAGGAAACAGACTGTGCCTCCTGTCCTGCACAGAAAGTGTTTGCCTTGCAGCAGGTCCAGATACAGCAGCCCCTGATACTGTGTGGCTGTGCTGGCTCTGATGCTGGCACGTAGCCTGACCACTGCGTTGGATGGTCTAGAGAGTGTGCAGTGGAAATGGGAGAGTTCAGCCACCAAACTGGAATTGCTACTCACTGGGAATTTTGTTTCATTGCTTTTTTTTCCCCCCAAAGACTTCTAACCTGCTAACTTTGGCAGAACTTTCAAGGTTTCTTCCAAACCCTGTGGCAATTTTCACTGCATCAGAGCTTGGAGAAGGCAGGAGTTTTCAATGTAGTGATTGCAGGAATCCACCTCAGTGCACCCAAATGACAGTTTTCCCCCCCTCCTAACCCTTGTTCTTGATAAAGCCTCAAGCGACTGAGCTGTCTAGGAAGGGAAGAAAAATAGCCTGAGGAGAGCATTGATTTTAGCAGTTTTATCAAGAAGTGAGAAGAGGATCTTAAAAACCTTTGCTGATGCATTGCTGTAATATAGAATGGCAATAGCCCTCTACCATGTGCCTGTATACAAGATCTGCACTTAAATATATCTAAGCCAAAGAGAACAGCCAGGAATGTACTTTCTTCTGAAGATGTAGTCTCTTGCAGGTAGGGCATACGAGAAGCCTTAGCTACCTGCTGGTAGATGAAGTTCCTGTTTCTGCATGTGTAAAATCAGGCTGGTTCTTTCAGTTGTTTGCTTCCAGTGTGCTTTGACAGAGTTCCCAGTGGTGTACTCCTTTTGTGTTCCTTCTGATGTGAGAGGTTGCTGCAAACCCAGAGTTCTCACTGTTGTATTTCTCTCTTCCAAAGGAGTTTGACTTGGATGTAGTGGCCGTGGTGAATGACACAGTGGGCACAATGATGACTTGTGCTTATGAAGACCCAAACTGTGAAATCGGACTCATTGTGGGTACGTGTTAGAGAGGCTTTTTATTTGGCACTTTTTTGTTAAACAGCATGTTGACACATCTGTCTGTGTTCTCGTGGAGACATACCTGTGGTTAACCGAAAATATAGCTAGGGCGTCCAGGAGTGTAAGATTTTGAGATTAACAGCTATCCCTTCAGAAGCAAGCTGCGTGAAGGAATTAAGAGCAAAATTTAACAGCCAGCTTAGTTCTGTGCATGGTCAGTTAAGATAAGCACAGGCTGTAATGCTGACCAAATCCTGCCTGTTATAACTGGGAAGGCACTGTGCTGCTTGGGAAGAGAGCAGATGTGGGCTCAGGTAGCCTCACCAGCTTCTGGAGTATCTCTTTGTTTAGCCTGTAAGAGTTTCCCTGCCGGGGTGTTCAGGTAGCCCACATCTTCCCTTGCGCATGTAGTCTCTCAGAATAAATTTGTAAAGCACAGCCACAGTTCCTGAATGGCGTGTGATGGAAAGCTCTAACAGACAAAGTGCAGCGACTGACAACTCCCTTCCCAGCAGTGAGACAGCTGAAATAATTCTACAGGTGACTGCCGATGCCTTTGCAAATGCCACGCTTAGGGTGCCTGAAGCACGAGGCCGTGTGAATTCCCAAAGCTCTCCAGAGAAGTGAGTTTTCAGTGGGAGAGAAGGGGATGAGGCAGCTGCAAGCTCTAAGAACGCTTTCAGTTGTGAGGTGGCTTGTAGGAAATTAAAACGGCACCGATTTCTCCTCCAGACAGTTGGAAAATGTCCAGAATGAGTCAGCACAGTGCAGTGTGGGTAGGAAGCCGCATCTGCGCAGCTCCGTCAGTGGTGTGTTTTCAGGGACAGGGTTCCCTGCAGGAAGGACAGCGTGTCCTTAGGGTGCTGAGAGCATCCTCTGAGGACCGTCTGCTGCAGCCCTGCCAGATACGCTCTCCAGCCAGCGTGTCTGTGTGCAGAGCAGGGGGTCAGAGGTGCCCTGGGTACATCTGGGATAATGAGAGCGAAAGCCCCGGGGCTCTGACAGCTCCTTCTGCCCTGCCTTAATTGCCTCGGCCAGACTGATGGCACTAGCTGCGAAGCCTGCAAGATGTGTCAGTCGCCCTGCTCTCCCCAGAGCAGAGGTGGGTGAACTTTCCTGCTGCTGCTTGGTAGGGAAAAATATTCTTGCAAGGGCGAGTTCATGTCACGCTGGTGCCCTGTCTCTGCCCGGTGCCACCTCTCTTGCCCAGGAGAGCTGATCATTTGAGTCTCCACTGCTGAATACTTTGGAAACTGCCACTGATGAGACCAGGTCTCTGCTTTTCATCTGCTGGCAACAGGAGGTTATTTAAAAGCCTGAAAGCCTAACAGCCTGTATTTTATAAGTATCCACATATTCAGGCATCCCTTACTGAGCTCGTTCTGGACAACAGACTTGGCATTGGGAGGTTGGCCAGTGCTGATGTTCCACAACTGGGTTTGGTCTGGTTTGGTCCTGCAAATCTCGGTCTCAGTCTTCCTCCCCAAACTCTGCGCTGTGGCTCACCTCTCCTGCAGCAAGGGAGTACTGTGGGAGGATCTCTTTTTGCTCGGACTTTATTGATATAGTACCGTAAAAAAAATCTCAAAGGAAAACAGAGTTGCTGGTATAATTGGTGCAGAATCAAATGAGAGTTCAGTAGGCAACTTCAAGAAAACTTTTGCTCCAGGTAACAGCAAAAGCTGCCTCTCTTTGCTAGTACAGCTTTGCTCCCTAATGCCTGTGTACATGGACCACTTGTAATTGCCACGCTCATTGGGATCCTCTTTAAGCAGAATCAGATATGGCATTGTTTCAACATGGAAGTAACCTTCCTGCCAGAGAAACTGTTTAAGCAACATGAATCAGAAAAAAAAGACAAGCAAGAACTGAAAAATACCCTGCAATTAGCTGGTAAAACCCCTGGGGTTTTCTTTGCCTGATGCCTCAGAATTTGCTGAGGTTTTCGCTTTGGGAAATTTTCCCTTATACTTTGTGTGTCTGTGGGCTTTGTGGAAGGTGGTTCCTAACTTCAAAATCCAGCTGGTTGCTTGCTGTGATTTTGCGTTCAGAAGTACATGAGGGTTGATGTGCCAAAAGTGCTGCACTGCTGCTCCTCCCTGGAGCATGGGACCCTCAGCCCTGCTGGCCTCGATGAGCCTTTTCTTCTCTGAGCTGCTCTGAGCGGCAGACCCACAGCAGTAATATTCTCCATCAGTTCAGGATTATTGAAGAGTGAGGATTTTTTGTGACATTTCAGATGGTAGCTTGACTTCATCATTCAGAAGAAGCACATTCAAGATCTCCCAGAAGGCTTTATAAGGGCTGTTGTGCTTGTTCTAGTGTTGTTTTGTTCCAAACAAAGAGTAATTTCAGTATTTTCTTCTTTCAGGAACTGGCAGCAATGCCTGTTACATGGAAGAGATGAGAAACATAGAGATGGTGGATGGTGAGCAGGGACGGATGTGCGTGAACACGGAGTGGGGAGCGTTCGGGGATAACGGATGCCTGGATGATATCAGGACAATATATGACAAAGCAGTTGATGACTATTCACTAAATGCTGGAAAGCAAAGGTACTGCGGGATAAATGGTGTGCTAACTATAGCCAGGCTGCCCAAAATGCTTTTAAGAGAGAACTGGATATCTCCCAGTCGGAGAAAGGAGAGGTTAAGAGCGGAAAATGACTGCAGCCGTGCTATCCTGTGTGATCTCCCTCTTTTGTGCTTTTACTGGTCGCTGCTTTTTTGCAGAGAACTGCTGCTTTTTTTTTTTTCCCGGAGGACTTCAAGAGTCTTGAAATTAAAGAGAGACCCTTTTTCTCATGCCATGTTGTACTGAGAGAGTTAAGATGGCCTGTCATTCTTTTGCTCTTGGCCTCAGTTTAATCTCTTTTAGCTGAACTCTTTTTGTCGAGGGCTCTGCCTTTAGAAATCCTCAGCTGATACCAGCCAGCATGATTGGAGCTTGGAGCTGCTCACTGTAAAGCAGTCAGGAGCTTTCTAGAAGTGGCAGCCAGCTCTCATTTCAGACAATTTTCTGGATGAAATATGTCATGTTAGAGGACCTGCCTTTCTTGGACCTGGAGGTTGGATCCCATTTTGGGGGTCCAGCTCTTGTTTGGGCAAGTTATTCCCTGCCCCCTTCAAGAATGGGTTGAAAAGGAGGTGTGCCCAGCACTGATAAAACTGGGCTGAGACTGCTATACGCTCAGACTACAATATTTCATAATTTCTCTGCAGCAATGCTTTGACGCCAGGAGCTTTTAAAAAGATTTTGTGACTACAGTAAATCTGCCTGAAAACCTGGGGGATGCAGACAAGTTGGCAGGTCCCTTGTGAAGATCTTTGGAAGTTAGGGCTCAAACAGACCCAGAGAGGCAGACGCTGAGCAAGCCTGATGCAGCGGCAGACTTGGCATGGAGTAAGCAGCCAGAGGCAGTTGTGGAGACTGCCAGGGGGAATAATTTATTCTGGAGAGAGTTAGGCACTCAGAGGGAGGACACTTGCTGGGTACAAGCCTGAGAGAGCTCATAGTATTAAATGGAGTGCATGGCCTGCTTCCAGCAGGGTGCTGCACTGGGCTCCGCTCAATCCGGGCAGAAACCCTGCTTTAGAGCTTCAGGAGGTGAAATAAAGGATGCATCACTGAATGCACTTTTCAATAAATGGAAAAGTGTTCAGTTCTCATTGGTAAGGGCACAGCTCACAGACCCCAGAATGTTCCATTCAAACCAGAATGATGGTGGAGGGGAAGGAGTGCAAAGCAGACTCCTGCCCTCCTCAGCGCAGGGCTGCTCTGTACCAGTGCTGAGCATTGCTCATGGACCGCTCCTTGTCACGTGCTGGGAAGAGGTCTGCAGGTGGCAGATATTCCGTCTCTCTAGGCTGTGAGCTGGCCTTCGAGGGGGAAACTCGGGTCCCCCAAGTTGGGGGCAAGAGATGTTCAAGACAGCTTGGTTTCTCCATGTGTTTTTTTGACTACTGGTTCCCTGCTGGAAACCAGGTGCTGGAATTAACTGAAAAGCATAAACCTGCCCTGGACCTCCAGCTTACTGGTTTACAGGTCAGTGATCCTGCAAACATGCCAGACATACCTTTTCACATCCTTTATCTTTCACAGGGTTTTGCAGCACAGGACCCTCTTAAAAATGCTGCACTCGCAGTGACTGCACCTTGTGGTTTCCCTCTAATTCTGCTGCACGGAACAACTGAGCTTTTTCTGCTGAAGGTCTCAGCCGTGCTTCAAGAGGGCTCCCAAATGTTCTGCAGTGCAGACTAGCTTTCCCCGGGGTCCACTCAGGGCTGTCACTCGAGGACACATGGCAAATTTGCTTTCATCTGGGCACCGTTCTGCTCTCTGGCAACAGGTTTTGATTTCTTCTGTCTGAGAGAAATAGCAGCCGTCATGAACAACAGCCTGGCTGGCGGAACATGGAAGTGAGGAATAGATGAAGTGTTTGTAGATGGGCTCACATGGCTTCCCACTGGGCCTTCATCCTTTTTCTTGCCCAATTTTTCTAGTAAATGGCCATTCTGTGTAAATCAGGTTGTGTATTTGATGTCCCCAATGTGCATGGGCAGAACACCTGTGCGATGCTGCCTGTGCAAATGTGAGCAGTGTCCCTCTGAGCTGTGCCGCTGTCTTTCATTGCAGGTACGAGAAAATGATCAGTGGGATGTATCTGGGGGAAATAGTCCGCAATATTTTGATCGACTTCACCAAACGGGGGTTCCTGTTCAGAGGCCAGATTTCAGAGACACTGAAGACCAGACATATCTTTGAAACCAAGTTCCTTTCTCAGATTGAGAGGTAAGAGCACTGCATGGGAGGTAGTTTAGGGTGAAATAGTGCGGTAACGTTTGTCCGGTGACACTACTGGAGAGCATTTCTTGGTTCTCCAGAGGTAATATTGGTTTCAGTAAGAGCCTGCGCATGTGCAGAAGGATTTTTTACAACATCTTCTGAATTTTTAGCAATGCTTACCGCTAAATCATGGGAAGGGCTGTCAAGGATTCCCTTACTGTATCATTTTATTTGCTTGCTTGGAAATCAAGACATTTTCCTGTGCCCCTTGCATGTGTCTAGCAGTGATTGTTGAACTGAATGAAGACTAAGTGAATGAGCACATTTTTGCTGGATATTTTTGTGCATTTATTGCTTGGACTCGGTATTTTAAAGTAATCTCAAAGCCTGTTGAGTCTTTATGGGGGGGAAAAAACCCCAAGCTGGTCATTAAAAATATTTTTCTGAAATGCATTTTGGTAAGAAAAGAGAAGGGGAGGCAATGCGGAGCTGGACTCGGAGCCTCCCTTGCTGCTTGTGCCCCTCTCCTGTACTGCAGCATGGTGCTGGGATGAATGAATTTGCATTCCCAGAGGTCTCTTGCGCTGGCAGGAAAGGCTGCTGCCTGGTGTGGGTGCATGGATGCAGCCGCTAGTGCAGTGGGGTTTGTGGCAGTGGCTTGACTGAGGGAAACCTTTAATGTACACTGTGCTCTTCTGCTTCTGCAGTGACAGGTTAGCCTTGCTGCAGGTGCGAGCCATCCTCCAGCAGCTGGGGCTTAACAGCACCTGCGACGACAGCATCATAGTCAAGACTGTGTGTGGAGCAGTGTCCAGGCGAGCAGCTCAGTTGTGTGGCGCTGGAATGGCTGCGGTTGTAGATAAAATTAGGGAGAACAGAGGATTAGAGCACCTGGAGATAACGGTTGGTGTGGATGGGACTCTATACAAACTACATCCACAGTGAGTATTCACCTTCTCAGCATTTGTTTGCCTGCAATCTGTAGCGCATTGCTTGTACGCCCTTTCCCTTGATGCACGAAACTGGTCTCTCTTACTTGCTAGGGTAAGAGCCAGGGAAAAGAAGTCTTAATCGGGGGTGGTCAGGGCTTTCTAAAGGGCAATGAGAGGATCAAGAAGGGCTTGTGAAGGATTCTTGGGATGTTGAAAAACTGAAGGGAGCGCCGCTTGCCGAACAAGTTGGAAACTGCGCAGCAAGGGCAGGATCTCTTGGCTATGCAAAGGCAATGACAGATCAGTGCTGAAATGCCTGGTGCCTCTTTGGAGGATGTTTCTGCTCAGTGTATAGAGGAGACGGGCTGCTGTGAAGCAATGGCAAGTGAGGGCACGAGTCTAAAAGAGCTGGTGGCAGGAGGAAGAGAGGACTAGTGCCTATCTCTGGTGCGCGTGGAGGGAGATGGGTGGGAAGGAGATGACTGGACGTGGTCTTTTCTCCCCCCTTGGCTGTGGTACTAGCAATCTGGGTTAACTCGACACGGAGGGACGGGGTGGGATGCAGGTGCTTTTTTCCTTTAACTCCCACTGCTCCCAGTCTTCAAATCCACCCTAGTTTCCAGCATTTTACTACTTCCCCTGGTGAAAGGGGGAGCACTGCAAAGGCCTTGTGGCAGTGCGATGCTCTGCAGATGCTGCAGGACCTCCCTCACCCACTGCCATTCTTTCCTTTTGCAGCTTTTCAAGGATCATGCACCAAACCGTCAAAGACCTGGCACCCAACTGTGACGTGACCTTCCTGCTGTCAGAGGATGGCAGCGGGAAAGGGGCAGCGCTCATCACAGCGGTGGGATGCAGGCTTCGCGATGCCGAGCAGAACTGAACTCCACAATCCTGTCCCCGATTCTGTCTTGTGAGCACTTTCTCATAAAGCAGTGACTGCATAGTCAGAACTGGTAAAAACCCAGAACTCACTGCTTTATCGGGGGAAAAAAAATACAACTAATGACATAAAAATTAGGATACAAGATAGAATGTGTGCTGTTAATAATATCTCCTGTTTCTGGACCCCAATCTGCATGTTTCTTATTCACCTTGTTGGTACCTTCCCCATCTGTAGATCATGGAAAAATCAGTCTATAATTTCTGCAGCTGTCAAAAATCAGTTGTTGTCTGAGATGAAATTGCCCCCAAGTGATGTGCGTGGAGAACTACCGTTGCATCGTACCAAGTATGTTCTTTGCAGCATCCCTGTTAAGCGCACTGCCAGCACGCTGACCACCAGACCTCGGTGTTGATGCTTCTAGTGAAGGGGAAGCAACAGTTCCCTCCTGCGTATCTACCTGCTGTTGTTTCGTCTAAAGCAATTGTGAAAACGTTATGGTGTGTCAGCACTGTGCACGCACGTAACTCTATAGTGGGACTTGACAATGCGACTTACTTGCTTCCTTGATGCCTGTTTTGTCACGGTGAAAGTAAACGCCCTTGTCCCACAGATCTGGTTCCACTGGTATTTCCCATTGCTTCTGTGAATAGTGTTGTGTTACTGGGCGAAATCTGTCACATTTCGGCAAGAAATCCCTGAAGAGTAAAACAAAGTGGTTGGTGACTGGGGTAATCCAAATCTCCAGACCCAGGAAATCGGCAGATTTATGGTCCCTA